TGTGTGTGTGTGTGTGTGTGTGTGTGTGTGTGTGTGTGTGTGTGTGTTTTTAAAGGCTCCTCATATATTAAGAATTTTTTTTACATAAGAACAGCCATACTGGGTCAGACCAAAGGTCCATCTAGCTCAGTATCCTGTCTTTCGACAGTGGCCAATGCCAGGTGCTTCAGGGGGAATGAATAGCACAGGTAATCATCAAGTGATCCATCCCCTGTCGCTCATTCCGAGCTTCTGGCAAACAGAGGCTAGGGACACCATCCCTGCCCATCATGGCTAATAGTCATTGACAAACCTATCCTCCATGAACTTATCTAGTTCTTTTTTTAACCCTGTTATAGTCTTGGCCTTCACAACATCCTCTGGCAACGAGTTTCACAGGTTGACTGTGTGTTGCATGAAGAAATACATCCTTTTGTTTGTTTTAAACCTGCTGTCTATTAATTTCATTTGGTGACCCCTAGTTCTTGTGTTATGAGGAGGAGTCAATAAGACCTCCTTATACTTTCTTCACACCAATCATGATTTTATAGACCTCTATCATATCCCCTCTTAGTCATCTCTTTTCCAAGCTGAGAAGTCCCAGTCTTATTAATCTCTCCTCATATGGAAGCTGTTCCATACTCCTAATCATTTTTGTTGCCCTTTTCTGTACCTTTTTTAATTCCAATATATCTTTTTTGAGATGGGGCACCCAGATCTGCATGCAGTATTCAAGATGTGGGCATACCATGGATTTATATAGAGGCAACAGGATATTTTCTGTCATCTTATCTATCCCTTTCCTAATGATTCCCAACATTCTGTTAGCTTTTGTGACTGCCGCTGCACATTGAGTGGATGTTTTCAGAGAACTAGCCACAATGACTCCAAGATCTCTTTCCTGAGAGGTAACAGCTAATTTAGATCCCATCATTTTGTATGTATAGTTGAGATTATGTTTTCCAATGTGCATTACTTTGCATTTATCAGCATTGAATTTCATCTGCCATTTTGTTGCCCAGTCATCCAGTTTTTATCATCCTCTGTCCCAAAGGCTGATGATGTCATCTTTTGCCTTATCAAGTATCTTACTGGTATATTCATCATGTGATGCTGGACTGAGTTCTGTAAAGGAGTGCAGTACAAGTCACTTACGTTTTTAATAAGCTCCAGTGAGATACTTGACCTGTCTTTTTTTTAACACAGAAATCATGACGTCTGGTGTCAAGACATTGATTATGGAGCCAACGTTGTTGAAGTAACCAGATTGGTCCAGTGACATTTCCTGAGCTGTGTTGACTGAGATTTTTCCTGCTTATTATATGCTTGGGTGTTTAAAGAATAGGAATGATGTTGATTGTAATTAATAGTTGGAGTCAGAAAATATCTGCTTATAAATGGCTTCACTACTCATCCTCCACTGCCGCTGTTGTGCTGCTGCTATCTGTTAATGTTCCATAGAAATCTCTGGAATGTTAGAGCATGCGGTACCTGATGCATTCTGTTTGGATGTTCCTGGAACACTAAGCAGTCAGATAATATAATTTTGTAAATTCCCAAATTATTCTTTGGAAAGTGACCCTACGTTTTCTAGAACATTTATGTTTTGACTGATTTTGTGTGTGGAGAGCAGTCCTTAGAAAAGTCTCACATCTTCTATATTATTTTATTGACCAGTTTGGACATAAAGTTAAGGGAATTACATTCTGTATAGAGAAGGGCCCTAGACACAAGATTTCTTGTCAAATTTTTATCAGATTTCTTACGTAATATATTTAATGCTGGTTTCCATGTCATCTAGTTCTGCATTCACTGTAACTAGTAACAAAGAACTGTTATCCTATTCCCTCATGAAATCCTTTGCAGAAGGTGCATATTATCTACTACAAGATAGGGCAATGAGGAGCATCAGTTTCCACAGCAGTATAGAATCCTGAATTACAAATTACTGTTTACTCCTTTTTGCATTAAAGAATATCGTAATCCTTGCAAAATGTGCCCAAAGTCTTCTGTTTGGCTGTGTGAGGTTAGAATGTGCAGTCTAGCAAAAAGAAAAAAAAAGTTTTTGCAATGCAGGAAAATTTCGAAGGACTAACAGCTGTGTAGAGGAATAAAAAGCCTAAAATACATTAGATTTGTTATCTAAATAAAAACATTTGTAGTCACAAAGCTAATTGGAGGCAGAAGTAGTTAGTAATTTTTTTGTAAAGGGAGAGAAAATTGGAATAAGAATTGGTGAGGAGCCCAATCAGTGTTTGTATGAACTTTAGGTCTATTGTAGAACTGAAACTTCTGTGATAGGGTGACTTGGCTGTGTTGTTTCCTAACCATGTACATCTCGTTAATTATTAATAAAGTTAACATGCTTAAGGTTTGGAAAATAAATCTTATTATAAGCAAGGACTAAATATTGGCTTTGACTGACATTTAAGTATCCTAGCTAGGTGTAAATTCTTTCTGTGTGAGTGTGCTGTATGTTTAACTTCATTAGATGTAAAAGCAAACATATTGATTGTGTGGTGTCAATAGTTATGCACAATTTATAATCAGTTTACACCATACCTTTTTCCTGGCCTTTCATTATATTTTGAATCAAATGTATAATATTGGGTAGAATGAGTTAACCTCAGTGTGCAGTAATCCACTAATTAAAAACATATAGGCACAATGTGGCATGTGGACAGTGTTTTGTTAATGGGATGCCACAGACTGAGCAGCTATTGAGGTTGCTGAAGAAACACATTTCTTCGTGTATTAGAGTACACATTTGTTTAATTGGCCTCATAACCTCAGCTCACAATGGAATATATTTTTCTTAGTCGGTAAAACTAATTGTTTTGTTTTAATCTAAAATAGTATAACATGTCCTTGCTGTTAACCCACAATCCTCTTGGAGGCAGAAGCTATACAATAATTGGAATTGTATTACATTACAGCTGTTACATAGCAATAAAATGTTTCTATTGTAATACAAAATTAATGTTATGGATTTGTTTCATTTTAACCCTTTAATGATGGATTTCTGGAAAGAAAAATAAAATGTATATCCGTTAAGCTAATTAGGGCATTTTCAATATATATTTTGATAAACTGGAGCAATTTAAACTGTTATAATCAGCGTTTTCATATTGCTCATTTGTAACACAGCGTGAATAACTTTAATTTTCTTGTATGTTGCAGAAAAATGACCTTTCATTAAAGAGCATAAGAATAAGTCACCTTACTGTAAAAAATCAAGACTACAAAACTAGTCTAACTGATGAAGAAACAAAACCTACACCATATGTTGTACAATGGGTACTACAAATGATGAGATGGTTTCAGTAGAGCAGACTTCCTCCTTGAACCCTCTATGTTTTGAATGTGGCCAGCAACATTGGACAAGGGAGAATCATTTGTACAACTATCAGAATGAAGTGGATGATGACTTGGTCTGCCATATTTGCCTTCAGCCTTTGTTGCAGCCATTAGACACCCCTTGTGGACACACGTTCTGCTACAAGTGCCTAAGGAACTTTTTGCAGGAGAAGGATTTCTGTCCATTGGATCGAAAAAAGCTTCATTTTAAACTCTGCAAAAAATCCAGTATTCTCGTACATAAACTGTTAGACAAATTGTTTGTTTTGTGTCCCTTTTCTTCAGTATGTCAGGAGGTAATGCAACGATGTGAGCTGGAAGCACATCTCAAAAACAGGTGAGCAATGGAGGGGATTGTCTAGTACTGCTTTTTGTATTGTTAGGATAGTTTTAGTAGCAGTCTAAATTGTGTGGATTTTATACAGTCAAATTTTGTCAAATATTCAGTATAGAAGATGTTTATTGACAAATCTATTCCTGGAACAGGTAGGTCGCTCATTACTTAACTGTGGTTTTTGTGTGTGTGTGTGTGTGTGTGTATTTTGTTCGTTTGTTTTTTTGAGGGGTAGCAGATGCACTTATAAAAGGTTTGATTTTTTTCTGCATGTTTCATCCTGTGAGTTTTGGAGCATCGTCAACTCCCAGTGAATGGGAATAAGACACTTAGCACTTTGCAGGATGAGCAGACAGGGTGAATTGTTCTATATAACCTGGGAGGCGTAAATTCTGGAGTATCTTCCTTGTTTTTGCTCTGTGGTCTGTCTCTAGACCTGAAAGGAGCTGAGCTGCAGTGCACTGTGCTATAATGTGGTTATAGGGTGAGGAGTAAAAATGGCTGCTATAGAGCAACTGAAAGGGATTATTTCTGAGTGCTTGGTGACCCATAAAGGATGGAGATGAAAACCTTAAAACTTCACCAGACTGCCTGAATATATACTGTACTTGCTACCCTGGTGAAGTGATGGTCTCTGAGATTTCTTTGCAGAGGGCCTTCTGCTACACAAATTAAAATAGACCTGGTAATTTTATATTTCTTTCCCCTCTTACTCCCCAGTATCTTGAAATATTGAAAGGAGAGCAAGATAAAGGGGAAAAAAATACAAGCAACCAAATTAGAGAGGATGAAGTTATGTAACTTGACCCCCCCAATGTCTGCTATATGCACAATTAAGGAAAGTACTATCTAGTAGTACTGTTGTGTTGTGTTGTTGTCTAGGTGGTATTTCACTCTTAAATGTAAACTGTCATTTTCTGTAATAAGAATATTAATGTTCTTTGTTTCATTGGGTGGCATTTCATTGTTTTTGTTTACTGAAAATATCCTGAAATATTGTTTAGAAAATATTTAGAGGGTTTTATTATTACTCTTATTTCATGAACTGAAATGGGGCCAAGCAGAGTCAAATTTGAGTCATGGACAAAAATGTGGGCATCCTATCACATTTGGGGAGAGGAACTGAAGTATGAAAGTGATAATGAGTTAGTGTGTTGGAAAGCTTTGTGAATATGTAGCCCCTAATAAGTGTCACATTTTAAAGGGTTTGGGGGGTCTTAAAATTAAAATAGAGGAATATGGTCAAGCATTAAATGAAGAGAGGGAGATGATTGATAAAAGAGAAATATGGAATGCATCTGATGCCAGGATTTTTTTTTCCACCCATAGATGTTATTTCATTCAAGCCTCTTTTACACATGCATCGCGTTTTACATTTTAAACAATGTATTACATACACTATTGAAAGTGGAGGTTTCCATAAAGTTCTATCTCTGCCTTTCTCTGGAAAAAGATCCAACCCCCTCCCCCAGTGAAATAACTATTTTTAATTTGCATTCAGCTTTCTGACAGCAACTTTCACTGTTTTTCTTCATTCAGGGCAGGATCACATCTAACCTACATGATGGTGAAAAAAAATCTGATTTGGCTAACTGTATAACCCTAATATATTAAATCCATTTTTAAAAAAAAAAACAAAACAAAGTAACAAGATGCATCCCAAACATTAAGTTCAAATGATATTTCACTATTGTTGTCCTCAACCTTCCTAGCCCTCTTCCATTGTTTGTCATTTCTTTCTCAATTGAGTCAAATTTAGATTGTAAGCTCCTCATGGCAGGGACTTGTCACTTTGGTGTAAAACACCATGCATACACACTTCAGCACTATATAAAATCATTGTGTGTCTAATGCACAAGTCATATAATGAGGTCTAATTTAAACTGAATCATTATTTATTCCCATCAATCAGTCTGTAACAGCATTTCAGTTGCTGTGCACCATGCATATGGAATTCCCTTTCTGTTGACGTGTGCTACTGATAACCTTCCTTCACACATTTTTTTATACCTGATAAAGTTGTTTTTCAATATAGCTTATTTGTAAACATTGGAATACCTTTATGTAAAGTACCTCTACTGGCATAAAAGGTCCAATAAATGCATAGCTTGAATTTGATTTGATATGGATTGGTGAATCCAATAAAATACTACTACTGATTATTAAATGTTAGATAAATGTACAATTCAGTATTGTTGTAATCTTTGTCATAGATATTACAAACCAGCTTCAGTGAGCACTCGGATGAACATGCCTGCTTTTCTAAGAAATGAAATATACTTGGTTAGCCTCACTGTTAAAAACATTCAAACTCAGAATTAAAATTTCCAGTGAAATAGTAATTGGCTTTATTTAAGCAGAAAGGCTGCAAGAAATTTCATAATATCCACCAGTCAATTCCAGAGTGTGTGGTAAATGCAAACCACTCTATCAAGGATATTAGAAGCATGAGGCACAAATTTGATGATATCATGGTCAATAATCACCCCAAGTTACCTCACTGCTTACTTAGAATCCCCTTGATTTATCAGTTTTTCAGGTTCGTCAAATTTGCTTGGGAACCACAGCCCCTTAGAGTCAGCCCTTGTAAGGATCTCTTGTACTTTATTTCCTGAGCATGTGGTATTTAGAAATCTTGTTAATGTTTAATAACTAACAATGGTATTGGTACCTACTTTATCAAAGATCATTTACTTGACCACAGGTCCAAGAAAACCTTACTGAACCTCTGCAATATTTGATTTAAATTCAACTTACTGAGACTTCAGATCTAATCAAATTCCATTCTAGAAAGGTACAGCTTTGGTCCAGCACAATGCAGTTTTGGTTCACGTGCAGATTTAGGCCCTGTCTTAGGGGTTTTTTTATTATTTTTATTTAAGCTGAGCCACAACTTGCCATCCAGTATTAAAAAGTGTAGCCACTTCAGAAGGTACCACAACACTCCTCCATATCCCCCATTACTGAACATTTAGAGCTTCCTTTAAAAGGAATTTTTTGTGGAAACTTAAATTTAAACCTTTTATAAAAGCCTCTTTTTCCACAGAAGAACCTTTTGAGTTGCTCAGTGGCTGGAAACCAGCATATTTAATGTGCAGATTCATACATGACCACAGCAAGATTTACAGAAAAAATCGTTGCAATAAATGCCAAACCTACTATTCAAAAGTAAGGAAAATCCAAAGGATTTGGAGTTTGAAAGTTCCTTGCTTAACACCTATTCTCACCTAGGTTACAAGCTGTGTTCCCATCAACAAGATGCCCTGGTGAAAGCCTAGCTCATTGCCCCACTCGGTTGCTGGGAAGGAGGAAAGGGCTGGGATTCCTACCAGGATGCTGTCCCTGGTCCTTGTTTTGGGGGCTCATCTTTCATATCTGCCTCTAGCTACTAAGTATCTGATGCATTTGAAGTTTTTCTAGCCTTCCAAAACTTCTCCAATTGCTGGAAGGGTGAAGGAGCTTTCTGTGTCTTTTCCCACTCTTGACCCTCCTGGCTACTGAGAGAAGGGGTCCTTATCGCTGCTCTTACCCCTCCTCCAGCTTCCGAGCTTGCACAAGAAAGGGTGAAGGGAAGAGAGATCTCCACAATGTAACCCCTCCTCCCGAAGGTTTTTTGGGTCCTCCCCCCCGCACTCCCAAAGCAAATAGATACCGCCAATGCATGGGTTTGCTGCTGACCTGCCGCTCCTAGTCCTGGTAGGTCATGATACGTTACCTCTTACACACATGGCACCCTGATCTAAGGAAAATCTATTTTAGATCATTTTGGAGATTTTTATAAACGCAAATACCATCTCTTCTATTATTCATAAGTAAGATGGCCTGATTTTACAGATAGTATAATATGAAAAATAATGTCAGTAAAATGCATTTTACATTCTGAAGTTCTGATCATGTAGCTTGTTGTGTGAAGATAGATCCCTGTGCCCTCACGGAGACCCACTGACTTCAGCAGGGCTCTGCCTGAGCACTGCGGGCTACCCATATACAACAGATTTCAAGATTGGGGTCCAAAAATAGCTTTTCTCCAAAATATTTGGAATAAACAAAATAGGTCAAGGTGTGTGGTATGGTCTGGAATTTGTATTGGCCACTTGTCTGGAATGGCCTGCATAACTTGTGCGTGGCTTCAATATTTGAATAATGGACACATACTGTGCATGATAAATCCCTTTATCTAGATAATAAGATTCCAGGAATGTCACTCTGAAGCCTAAAGTGTCTGTGCTAGTGTGAAATGATGGAAGTAGCTACAAGTACGGTTAAGAACTCTTTTGTTCAGAGTATCACCAGGTAGAATCATCACTGGGATTCATGGTCTATTGCCTTCCAACGTTTACGTTTTCAGCAATTTGACTTTACTAATTACACTATGAAGTGTGCAGCTGCAGTATCATCATGACATGTATCTATGCCATGCCTAGAGTCCTAGACCATTGTGAGATCAGGTAACTCAACCAATCACCGCTTTCTACTCTATAGCTAATTTGCTTGCCACATTTGCATTGGTTGTATGAGGGAGACTGCGCAGATGGGGGATTATTTGGCCCAGGTGCAATACCCGACTGCCACGCACAAATCCACACAATTCTCCTAGCACAACACACGAGTCTCACAATCAAATCATGAGCGTTGGCAACACTCCATCTTACGGATGAGACATAAGACCCAGGTCCAGACCTGATCACCAATGTACATGAAAAGCATTATGTAAATGTAAGATCATTATATAAATGAAAGATCACCATAACATTGTTGTCGCTGCATATAGATAACACATAGGAAACTCACAAACAAAAAACCACTAAAGTAGATTGGGAACAGCTTAACTAGGGGCTCATTAAAGCAGTTATAAAGAGGAGGTTGTGGAATGCTGAGGGAAGGACCAAGTGGGGGGGTGGGGGGAAGGAAAAATGTGCATTTCCAACCCAACCATAGGTCAGGAAGCAAGAGGAGCTGGGAAAATAAAAGGCTTTATACTAATTAAAAGGAAACTTTGTAAATTTAAGGACTGAAATTATCTGTTGCTTGCTGTCTTTTTAACCATGCTGAAGAAAGCCCTGGTTCTGGCTCCCTGTATACTAGCCTAGGGTAGAGAAATGCTCTATTCAGAAAACGTATGCACGCACAAGTGACAGCAGGATGTAGGATTTTTTTTCTTCCCTTCCCACCCCCACTTTATTCATTGTTTTTTGGCTACAGCCTTGGCCATGCTCATATAGAGCTGACTCAGAAGCAGGCTTTAAATTGTTAAGCAGTACAAATTGATATACTACCTATTCCAGGCATGGATTGGTGTGATGGGAGCGGAAGTGTGGAGGGAAGTTGGATAGGGGGCATACAAGGGGGCAGGGCTTGGACTCAGAGTAAGGAAATGGGTAGCATGGAACTGTGATACCTATTCTTGGAAATGAGGAAGGGGACATTCTATGGACAGCAAACGAAAGGATGCTTGGAAGGGGCGCAAGAGACTGGTACGACATAGACTGGAAGGCATGCTGGTGACTGGGGAACATGGAAGGAGTGGGTGCTGGGGACTTGGAGAGCCTTGGAAGTGGGTTGCAGGAAATTTGGGACTGGAATGTTCAAGCTTTTTGTGCTGTGTAATATGGCCACTTTTCATATATATTTGAAAGTAACATGACGGTCTATCTCTAGGTGTACTGGAGCTTCCCATCGAAGGGTTGTACTGGAGAAAAGGAAGTCTAGCAAGCTGCAGACAGAAGCTGAGAATGAAAATGGGCCTAATCTGATAGATCACCCAGGCACTTTATCTCCAGATACAGACCATGCTGGGACGGGACCAGTGCCAGTGGATCAGAACTTTACACCAACTACTCTTCCTGCATGGACAGATGAGCCTGGCCTTGACAACCCTGCCTTTGAAGAGAGCACAATAGCAGACAGTATGTCATGTTTGTCTTATAATTCTCTGTTTGATCTGTCTAAATCAAACCTAGAAACTTAGTGACATAATTGTAAGTTTATCTCCTGCAAACAAATAACAAACCCTATGTCTCCAGCTGCTGTGCTTGTCCTATAGTGATTCTTATTGGAAAGTTAAACTCCCCGAAGAGTTCTCTACTTGAAAATGTAGCACTTGTATGAAAACACAATTAGATGGGAAAGATCTATCTGTTATTTTTACTGCAATAGTATCATACTGCTATAACACAACGCTATCTGGTACTGTAGAGCATGTTAATGTCTCTGTTCTGGTCTGATAGCTACATTGAGGCAATGTTTTCTATAGAATTGCTGAATCTGGTTTCTAAGATGAGATTTTTTTCCCCTGGATCAACAGGCTTCCCACCTATGGAATACTGTCCTGTTCGAACGAAAAGGCAACTGAGTAACTCCTGCATCCATCTGCATCGAACTAACAGTAACACCTCTAGCATCTGCGATATTAGAGAGGAAACACTGAGCCTTACCACAGAGGAAGGTGGTCTTTCCCCTTCCTTTTCCTGTTTGTAGCCTGTGTACTCACCATTCATTAGCATCCTCCTCTTCCATTGTAGCTGTCTGTGTTTGTGTTTGGAGGTGTGCTTGCTTCTTGCCTTGACCTTGTAAATCAGTGACAGCTGTTGCTGTCCTGTGGAACTGGTTAAGGAAGAGCTAATTGATAAAGAAAATGTATGAAAAAGAAGATAATTATTTTTAAAGGTTAGGTCCCAAAGGGTTCTGAATATCCTCTTTTTAAAGTAATACCTAACTTTTCTGTTAGTGCATGGATACTGATCACTTATTTTAGGTCTTTATCTTTGTAGATAAACCAAGGTGTTTCAGCAAACAGTGGAGCCAATCCAATTTGTTTTATTTGTATTATACCATTGTCGTCTGGTGTGCTTATATTGTCCGCCAATAATTTGCAGTGTTGAAAATGTACTGTGGTATAAAATATATTAACCTTTCTTTATTTGTTTCTTTAAACTTGTCAGCAACCCACCAGCCACCTACCTTGCCCGAAGGAGAAATCACTACAATTGAAATTCACCGGTCCAATCCTTATATTGAGTTAGGAATTAGCATAGTGGGTGGCAATGAAACTCCTTTGATCAACATTGTTATTCAAGAGGTTTATCGAGATGGGATCATTGCCAGAGATGGAAGACTCCTTGCTGGAGACCAAATACTTCAAGTATGGAATCTAATTAAATTGTCTATCTACTTGCATGCATTCAATCATTGCTGTACAGTATGTTATGAGATGGTGGTAGTTCTCCTGCCAATCTGTGTTGTGTAAATGTTAGCTTTGCAATATTAGTTTAAAAACAAATTATTATTCAGACTGAGCAGAGTCTGTTATTCCAGTACTGATACCAATGATTTACATAGTTCATGGGGCTCGGCTTCCTATAATTATTTCTGTTCAATAGCTTTTAAAATGGATAAGAAAGGCTGAGTGTATTATTTTCTATTTTTAATGGTCTGAGGCTCTCCTCCTCTCCTTTTGAGGTATAGGCACCCCCTCCGAAGAAAGCAAAGGTTATTTTTGGTTAGGAAGTTAATTTAATTTGCCTTTTGCAATTGCATTTGTGAGTTACAGGATTGATTTTTTTTTTGCCTTGTTTATTATGCTAACTAGTCTGTCATGTTCCCTTCCAGCTGCAGCTTCCCTGCCATTCCTTATTACTTGAAATCAACAATTATGTTTAAAAGCAAAAAATGTTGTGGTGAAGTCCTTCACTGATGTGATTTGAAATGTTCTGTTATGAATATTAGGGTTATTTTTCCTATTTAAAATTAACAGATAAAATAACTTATATAATAAATCTAGAAGAATGAGGAAATAGCAGAAGAAAGTATTAAAAGCTCTGGTTCTGTTTTATTTTAAATGAATTCTTTAATTTTATTTTCAGCTACTTTAAATATTTCTGTCCTTTGGATCCGACATACCATAGTAAATCCTCCCTCATTGCCAACTCTGGACAATTCCACCTTTTTTACACACTCACTCACTCCAGCAGGTAGACATGATTGGGAAATTTTAGTATCCTTTAAATAAAATTAGCATGGACTTCAGAAAATAAAACCTTTCTTCCCTGGCATTAGAGAAACCAGCCCTTTTACTATCACAGAGTATTATGACAGAGTTGGCAAAAAGTAACCCAAGCTATGTTCAAAACCAAGCAATTGCAGGTGTTGATTGGATGCTATATCCAGTCACTAACCCCAGCAGCCAATGAGAGCCTTTTGGTAATCAAGGGCTGTGCCATGAGCTGCCAGAATGGTGAGCCTGTTGAAGTTGTAGAAATTCTTGTTGTTGAGCAGCTGGCAGTTATGGTTCCAAAAGCTCTAAGTATCTGTAAAGTGACTCTAGATGGGTAAAAATTGGAACTGCAGTGTAAAAACCCTATAGACCTGATAACACTGAACCTCTGCAAACTCTGTAAGCAAGTTCAGTAGAATCCCCTTGCCATTGTAAGAAGGGTATATAGAAGCAGGGTGTGGAGAGGTGCAGAAGACACAAACCAGACTCTGTGGAAGACCTAAGGGCTTCCTTGCTTAGAATTGGCCTGTGTTGGTGCTAAGCTGGCTCATGAAATTTAGTCGGCTTGGCCTTTGCAGACCAAAACTAGGTATTATGTTGCATGCAGTTATATGTTCATGCTTCAATGGTGGACATCTGAAGATCCCTTCAGAGAGTGTTATCTGAGGAATTTAGACAAGCTGAATATGACTGTAAGGTGAACTGTAGCACTTCTTGCCCACCCAAATGGAGAAGTATTTTCTTTTTCAGGTAACCTTTAATACTTGACTGAGGGCACAAGGTTTAATACTATTATATAAAATTGTAAAGTATATTTCATATCAACAGGGTTTTAAAAAAAATCTGATCAATTCATTGTTTAGAAATACATGCCTAACATTTTAAATATCTAGCTTAATGTAATTTTATGTAAACATTAAGAAAGTAAAACAATTAAAATATTAATCACACGATTAAAAAAATAGTCTAGATTAATCGCAGTTTTAATCACACTGTTAAACAATAGAATACCATTTATTTAAATATTTGGATGTTTTCTACATTTTCAAAGATGTTGATTTCAATTACAACACAGAATACAAAGTGTGCAGTGCTCGCTTTATATTATTTTTATTACAAATATTTGCACTGTAAAAAAGATAAAAGAAATAGTATTTTTCAATTCACCTCATACAAGTACTGTAGTGCAATCTCTTTATTGAGAATGTGCAACTTAAAAGTGTAGAATTATTATTTTTTTACACAACTGCACTCAAATAAAACAATGCAAAACTTTAGAGCCTACAAGTCCACTCTTGTTCAGCCAATCACTAAGACAAACAAGTTTGTTTACATTTATGGGAGATAATGTTGTCCGCTTCCTATTTACAGTGTCACCTGAAAATGAGAACAGGTGTTCACAGGGCACTGTTATAACCAGCATTGCAAGGTATTTGTGTACCATGTATACTAAACATCCATATTCCCCTTTATGCTTCGACCGCCATTCCAGAGGATATGGTTCCATGCTGATGACCAGTTCTGCTAAATAACAATCCAAAGCACTGCAGACTGATGCACGTTCATTTTAACCATCTGAGTCAGATGCCACCAGTAGAAGGTTGATTTTCTTTTTTGGTGGTTCTGTAGTTTCCGCATTGGCGTGTTGCTCTTTTAAGACTTCTGACAGTGTGTTCCACACCTCATCCCTTGCTGATTACAGTGTTGCATAGTGGCGTTATGGATTTTTTGATGCACCATTATGTTACGTATCACATGATGTTATAACTCAGTTGAGGGAGGTCTTTATTTTGGCAGAGAAGAGTAAAGAGAAATATGTCTTTGTTCAAGGACATCTTACTTCGAGCTCCTGTAGTGTCATCTGCTAAACGCTGAAAAGAAGGTGTTTGGCACTTTTTCACATACTCTGTGTTTCACTTAGAAGGTCTGTGTGGCAAAAATAGATGTTTTGCTTTCACACCCAGCTTGCTTTAGTATGTTTTAGAATTAACACAGTAGTGTATAAGAAGTAGACCATTGATGCCTTCTAAAGCAAGGACAACTAGGGCTTAAAAATATTACTCAGTGGATGAAAAATTGTTCGTGGTTGGTTGGTTTGTTTTTAAATTGAACTTGTATTTCATTTCAGGTTTCTCTTTCATGGCACATTTTTTGAAAGAGAACAGAAAAAATACGCTTCCTTTAACATATTTCCCATATAAACTCTACTTTTGTAGGCCTATATGACATTGGTGGTCATTTCACTTATGTTAAGAAATGTCATCTATCAACCAAAAGAAGTTAGTTACCAATTGTAATACAGATTAATAACTGAAACATCTTAGATACTTATCAAAAGAGGTCCTGGAATAAAATATCTGTCAGAGATTCCATTATAAATTCCTGTTTTCAAGGATTTGTTACCAGGTTATATTTGTCTGTTTCACTCCTGAAACTTACAGATTGAAATGACTAAGGTAAATAATAACATGCCCATTATGGACTATTTTGTATCAGCACTCATTTACTAAAATGATACATTTATTAAGGGTTTTTTTTTCTAAACTTTTTCCTTCATTTGCTTCTTTGTGCTTAAGTGTTGCAGCACATGTACTGATGATATGGTAAAATCACCGAATGTTTGGAGACCCTTACAACAGTGGTTCTCAAACTAGGGCCGCCGCTTGTTCAGGGAAAGCCCCTGGCGGGCCGGGCCGGTTTGTTTACCTGCCGCGTCCGCAGATTCGGCCGATCACGGCTCCCACTGGCTGCGGTTCATTGCTCCAGGCCAATGGGGGCTGCAGGAAGGGCGGCCAGCATGTCCCTCGGCCCATGCCGCTTCCTGCAGCCCTCATTGGCCTGGAGCGGCGAACCACAGCCAGTGGGAGCCGCGATCAGCCGAACCTGCGGATGCGGCAGGTAAACAAACCGGCCCGGCCCGCCAGGGGCTTTCCCTGAACAAGCGGCGGCCCTAGTTTGAGAACCACTGCCTTACAACATCATCCTTAACTCATCCCATTGTACCTTGAAGTTTCAACCTTAACTATGAATTTCCCTTACTTTTTGTGGATTTGACTCAGCTACTTAATGTTTAAATTCATTGTTACAGGCAGATGTTTTTGATTTTTTTTCTACTGTTTGTATTTTTTCTGTCAAATCTCATTGCTGTATCAGGTGTATTTATTGTTTTAGGGACTGCAGGAAATGCTCGTACTGAATTGATCCTCTAGAAACATTTCTGCCACAAAAAGAAATACTCTATATTCCTAGAATCAGAGATTCGTAGGACTGGAAGGGACCTCAAGAGGTCATCTAGTCTTAAAAATCTCCAATGGTGGAGATTCCACAACCTCCCTAGGCAATTTATTCCAGTGCTTAACTACATTGACAGTTACAAAGTTTTTCCTAATGTCCAACCTAAACCACCCTTGCTGCAATTTAAGCCCATTGCTTCTTCTCCTATCCTCAGAGGTTAACAAGAACTAGTTATTTCCCTCTTCCTTGTAAGAACCTGTTATGTATTTGAAAACTGTTACCATGTTCCCTTTGAGTCTTCTTTTCTCCAGACTAAACAAACCCAGTTTTTTCAATCTTCCCTTACAGGTCATATTTTATAGAACTTTAATCTTTTTGTGTGTGTGCGCTCTTCTCTGGGCTTTCTTCAGCTTGTCCACATCTTTCCTGAAATGTGATGCCCAGTACTGGACACAATACTTCAGTCTGCAACTGATTGTTCCTGTCTAAGTAGAGTAGTTTGCCTTTGTCCTTACTGAATTTCATCTTGTTTACTTCAGACCATTTATCCAGTTTGTCCAGATCATTTTGAATTTTAATCCTATCCTCCAAAGCACTTGCAACCCCTCCCAGCTTGATATCACCCGCAAACTTTATAAGTGTACTCTCCATGCCATTATCTACATCATTGATGAAGATATTGAACAGAACTGGACCCAGAACCAATCTCTGTGGGACCCCACTCAATATGCCCTTCCAGCTTGACTGTGAACCACTGATAACTACTCTCTGGGAATGTTTTTCCAACCAGTTATGCACCCACATTATAGTAGTTCCATCTAGGTTGTATTTCCCTAGTTTATGAGAAGGTCATATGAGACAGTGTCAAGATATACTATACCTACTGCTTCCCCCATATCCACAAGGCTTGTTACCCTGTCAAAGAAAGCTATTAGGTGGTTGTTGCTATTATTTGTTCTTGACAAATCAGTACTGACTGTTATTTATCACCTTATTATCTTCTAGGTGTTTGCAAATTGATTGCTTGAATTATTTGCTCCATTATCTTTCCGGGTACTGAAGTTAAGCTGACTGGTCTGTAACTCCCCAGGTTGTCCTTATTTTCCTTTTTATGGATTGGCACTATATTTGCCCTTTTCCAGTCCTCTGGAATCTCCCCCGTCTTCCATGACTTTTTGAAGAGAATCATTAATGGCTCAGATATCTCAGTTATTGTATTAGTGCATATCAGAGTAGTGAGTCAACAGGTCTGGCAGTTTATGTACTGTAGGGTTTGGTTTGGTTTTTAAATTAACAATACAGGCTGTAAGGGCAAAACTTAAGCCCATTTATATAAACAGGAGTTTGCTATTAACTTAAATGGGACCAGGGTTTCACCCTAACACTTCTGCATTTTAACTGTGGATTTTTTAAAAATATATTGCACTTTTTACCTTGGGATTAATCCTAATCAGAAAGAAACCTTTTCACAGAAGTATATTGGTTTGGATAAAACTTCATTCGGGAGAGGTTTCTTAGGTCCAGGACAAAATTCCGGGTCAAAACCCAGAGAGACAGACTCACCCAAAGAATAGCTAGTAGCCCAGTGGGTAGGGTACTCACCTGGGATGTGAGGAAGCCAGCTTCAAGTCCCTGCTCTGCCTGACTTAGTGCAGGAACTTGAACCTGGGTCACCCACGTCCTAGGTAAGTGCCCTTCCTGCTAGGATAGTCTGTTTGTGTCCCTATTTGTTTTTTGTTTTGTTTTGTTTTTGTGAAAAGCTTCAAGAAGTCCTATCCCAATGTGCAATGGGAAGCATTTCTGAAATCTCAAATTTTTACAGGGCTGGAAAAACGTTTTCTCCCCAGCTCTAGTTTACAGTTTACAAGCCCGAAAGTATTTATACCAGCCCACCAAAGTTTCTGTAGCGCTGGTGAGTGTTGAGTTACAGAATTTAAAAAAAAACAGGAGTACTTGTGGCACCTTAGAGACTAACAAATTTATTAGAGCATAAGCTTTCGTGGGCGTGTCATCTGATTTAACCTTTATCGTTCCAAAAATTTTGCTGCTCTTCAGTATCAGACATGTAAAACTTAAGGCCAAGGGTTTCAAAACTTGAATGTGTAAAGTTAAGCACTCATTTCTGGAAATCTTGGCATTAGCTTCAGAGCTCTTTAAGAACATGTTAGTGAATATTTGTACCTCCTCAATGTTTCCCTCTTCCAGAGACATCTGAGAGTCTGAGTCTCATGTTGTTGTTAGCGTAAACAGTTTGTTTCCACGTTGAAGAAGAGCTACAATGGTCCAATTATATTGAAAAAATGTTGACTTTATGCTTTTTTCCCCTAAGTCTAATATTTTCCTCCACTTAATGGTGCTGTGGTCATTCTGAATGTGGAAACAGGGAATTGCTCAAGATCGCAGCAGTAGCATGAAACTCCAACGTGCTCTCATTTTCCTAGGAGAGGAAGAAAATGTGTGTTGTGTATTACCAAAGTTATTAAAGTCAATTTATTCAGACTTACCATCTCTCTTCCCCTCCCATTCCTACTATTTTAGCAGCCAATATTCTAGAATTCCTAAGAGTTAAAGATTAATGTTTTCAAAGCATTAGCTGAAATTCCAAGCCTTCAGACCACTTCCAGCATTGAGTCTAGCTCTAATAGTTTTCAGATAGAAGTCAATAAAATCAGATCAGATTTGAGGTGGAGTTATTAAAAAAAATATATATGATAATAGGAATGATAGACTTAATTTAATATTCTGCATCTTGCACGCTTTTGAATTATTTGATTGTAGCTCAGATGTTGGTATTTCAGCCCAGCAGTGCTAATTTCTCTCTGTTTGTTATGGTACACGAGGTGCATGACTTAATATAGATGGTCTTGAACTGGCATCCAAGACAGCATCTGTCTCTGCTTCCTTGTGTACTTATATGGTGTCTCATTTACATTTCTGTTCCTGAGCTCTAGGACTGCAAAATGAAGATGATAAACTGTGAAATGGACATCCTATAATTCAGATACACTTATATGTTGCCCTAAAGTATAGTAATATAAAGTATGCTGAAATATATGAAAAAAATAAATATTTTCTTCACACTCTAAATATGAATTAGAATTGTCCAGTAGTCAAAAACAGTATTCTACAACATATTGTACTATAGGCCAAATTTTATAGGTTTATCAGTGTTCAGCCAATCTGGTAATCTGACTGGTTGACTATCTGAGCACGTATCCCAACTGGTACTTTTCTGATACAAAACACCTGCATTTACTGCAATTCCATTCTCAGAAACACTACTTTTTGTAAAAGTTGTAAGATTATAAACTCATCCTTAAAATTCCTTTCTTTAAAGAATTTTACACGTTCTTTTTAAAGCTACTCTTATTTAAAGTGACAGCAATGTGTTTGGCTGTCACTTTAAATAGAACAAACAGCTCCTGCCCTGAGCATACAGGGTGAAAGACCCAGGATGATCAGATGCAAATGCACTGGGAGACGGAGAGGATGGCAGTAATTTAGAATGTGGTGAAAGTTAGTGTTAATTGCAATAGTGATGGTGTAATGTTGATGTGGGTTAGCTTTGTAGGCTCAGCTGATAAAGTGTTTATTTAAGAGAGAATTGAATGAAGAGAGGGAAGGAGCACAGTGGGATAAGTAGATAATTCCAGGTATAGACTATTAGAGGTTTGTAACAGGGTCTCTGAACTTGGCAAGGATTTTATTGATACATCTAGAAACAAGTAAACAGATATGAATATTGTTTTACTTCTTGTTTTCCAGGTCAATAACTTTGACATCAGCAACGTGTCCCATAACCATGCTCGAGCGGTTCTTTCCCAGCCCTGCATGGTGCTGCATCTCACGGTGCTCCGAGAGAGACGATTTGGAAGCCGGACACACAACCATGCTGACAGCACTTCGCTGCGAGAAGACAGCTTTCAGGTGACGCTGCATAAACGAGACTCCAGTGAACAGCTTGGCATTAAATTAGTGCGCAGAACAGATGAGCCAGGAGTTTTTATCCTCGACCTTTTGGAAGGGGGATTGGCTGCTCAAGATGGCAGACTCTGCAGCAATGACCGGGTACTCGCAATCAACGGACATGACCTGAAACATGGGACACCAGAACTTGCTGCTCAGATTATCCAGGTAAACTCTAATGGGGTACTTTATTCAGTCTGAAACTTTAAAATTTATTATATGTCAAGACACTTATTGTACGTATCGCCAAATTTCACCCCAAAATGGCATAGTACAGTTCAGAACAACTTGTGTATTGTGCCTAAACTGTATAGTGGTTTTGGCAGATGTTACTCATTACTAGTAGCTGAAAGCCTGTGCTGTTGCTCAGGTAATTTTATAAAGATGTGTGTGTTTAAAAACAAACAAACAAAACAGTTGAGAACTTAAAAATTGGATGGAAACAGACTGTGAATCCCAGTGATGATTGAACCTAGTGATATTCCAAACAAAAAGATTTCCCAGCCATGATTTTAGCTAATTCCATTTCCTTCCCACTGACTCAACAGACTTTCTAGGCTTCAGAGTGATATTTGGGGTTATTGTATGGGGGTGATGTGACGGATTCCCCCCAGAGTGGCACCTGGAACTGGGGTACCACTGAGCCCGTCTGATCCACCAGCCTGGGCTCCCTCTTGCACTGTGGTGCTGTGATAAGTTGCTAAGCTCTCCAAGCTTGCTCTTTCCCCAGCATACACAGAGTTAGGGAGACACCCAGCTGCAGCTTCACACAGATGCTGAGATCAGCTCTGCATGGGAAGGCTCAGCTAAGGCACCTCCCAGTTGCTAAGGCACGCACCCCCTCTGGAGTGTAAATCCAAAATTATACCATCTTGCACTGCACAGGGAACTGTACAGCGTAAGCTCATAAAAGTCTCCCCTCCCTCAATGTGGAGAGAGAGATGGAACAACTTTCTGCCCCAAGTTATAATTTTTACACACCGGTTTTAGACAAAACAGAAACAAGTTTATTAACTACAAAAGATAGATTTTAAGTGATTATAAGTGAGAGCAAACAGATCAAAGCAGATTACCTTAGTAAATAAACAAAACCACAAACTGAGCTTAACACACTAGATAGGTAGAATATGAATTAGCAAATTCTCACCCTGAATGATAAAGAGGCTGGCAGATTCTTAAGGCACAAGGTGCCTTGGATTTCCCAGGTTTTCATACACAGGCTAAAAATCCCTTTAGCTTGGGACCATCACTTCCCACAGTTCAGTCCTTGCCCCTCAGGTGTTTCCAGGTGTTTTGTTGTAGGGAGAGTGAGGTCCCACCATGATGTCGTTGTCCCCCTTCTATATCTTCTTCTCACTTGCTGGAGAGCTCTTTTGCTGTGATGTGGGTCAAACAGTTCCCATTGCTATCTCTGAGAGGTTTCTATTGTACACGGTTCCTGGGGTAATCCTTGTACTTGTGTGCATTTCCTCAATAAGCCATTAACTTTGTTTGTCCTTTTTACTGTTGTACCTGAAAGGCTGCTTTTGGGTGTTTTTCAACCTCACAACATGTTTCACATGCCTCACATACATAGCCAAACTTCATAACTTCACATAGGACGGTAGCACATACAATCCAATGAGATATTAATGTCTAGCAGAACAAGATTTTTAGAATGATACCTCACAAGGCAGACTTTGCACAAAACATATCCTAATTACATGACAGTGGTGAATATTGGGGTGCCAGGTGTCACAGGTGGCTGCATTGATTTGTGTATGGGTTGTGTTGGGCTGGGAGAGTTGTGTGGGTGGCAAATGAGGGGTGTGTGCTGCATTGAGGGGTAGTGGTGGTGATTTGCATGGTGGTTTTGTTGATTTGTTGGGGGTTATGCTTGGAGATTTGTGTTGGTTTGTGCAGGTAGTAGTTGGGTGCGCAGGTGTGGCAGCTGGGCCAAGTATCTGTGCAGTCTCCCTCATACAGCCAATGAAATTGTTGTATGCAAATTACCTGTGGAGTAATGATGGTGACTGGTTGTGTTACCTCTGTTATTGCAATGGTCTGGGACTCTTGGCATGGCATAGATACATGCCTTTCTGGTGTAATTTGTGAAGTCAAAATGGCTGAGAACTTAAAAATTGGATGGTAACAGACTGCAAAACCCAGTGAAGATACAACCTGCTGATATTCTGTCCAAAAGGAGCTCCAACCATGCTTGTAGCTGATTCTATTACTTCAAACTGACTTTACAGCCATTTTAGGCTTCAGAATAACACAGAGTGACATTCCTGGAATCTTATAATATAGTTTTATAGAGTTGTCACATTCCGGGGTGCAATCCAGACTGGTAAGAGGTTGTGTCACTGCCTGCCCCCTAACACTGGGTGCCTCACAGTGCTTTACTGATGTAGCTCCCAAACTAGGCCACTCACAAACAGGCGAACAGCATGCAGGCAACACTCTGAGTGTCTGTGTTTAACTACAGTTCTGACCCCAGCAGCATGTCAGCAACACTCCAGTCACATTCTGGCTTCCACCAGCCTTGGTTACTCCTTGCAGGGTGGCCCCAACACATTCCCAATCCCAGATTTTCCCCCAAAAGATGTGTTCTGCACTGTCCATCCCTCTCTTGGGCAGTTCAGATATTAGAGGTCCATTGCCTCTGTAAAGGGTCAATATGCAACAGTTTGCTACTTGAACTGGAGTTACCTAAACAGTTCAGTTTAAACACAACACTGGATTAGTTTTGATTAAAAAAATAAAATAAATTTATTTAACTACAAAGAGAGAGATTGTAAGTGAGTACAAGTAAAAGACATTAAAATCAGAAATGGTTACAAGAGAAATAAAGATAAAACGCTTTCTAGTAGCTAAACTTAACAAGCTAGACTTGGTTCAAAGTAAAATTCTTACCACAGGTTTCCAGCAACATTGCTGACCAAATTCACAGGTTAGGATCCTCCCTTATGTCAAAGGGCTGGCTCCTTAGTCGACTTAGGTGAGTGAAAGAGATCGAGAGATGCCTTGGGGTGTTTTTGCCCCTCACTTTTATAGTCCAGTCACCCTTTGAAGTGGATTCTTCTGAGGATTACCCCTCAAAGCAAAGTTTACTCAAACAGTAAAGAAGGTGATGTGGAGGCTGGTGGTGAAGGTGGCTCCATGCTCTTTCTTCCCCGTGCGTGCTGAAATGCAGATTTGCCTTGTCTCCTGCCATTTCCCCCTCATGCTGTTTCAAGGCTCCTGTTTACTTTTTAAATGTAAATTGAGGTAAACACACATTCCTTTGCCTAGGATAGACCCATTTAACACCTTTTGTCTAGTCAGGCCCCTGTGAGTTTGAACATATGCTAACATCATAATACAGGGGGAATTCATAACTTCACATATAATGTTGCTACATGTATTTCACCATGATATTATTGACCAGCAAGTTATTAGTTTTCAAATGATACCTCACAAGGCATATTTTGTACGATTGTTATTACAATGGTGTGTAGGTGTGAATACAGTGGGTGTTTTCAATCACAATAGTGCAAAATGCACTGCAGACACCCACCCCCTTTTGGGGCCTCAGACGAAACCTAGAAATTGAACCGATGTGGCCAGAAGTGAAAAGTGTGTTGGCCTCCTCCAGTGTGTGCCATAGCTTACTGAAAGTTATAAGACTATTCATATGTATAAGGTGATCTCAGTGTAGTCTGGAGTCTAATAGAAGAAATCAAGGAAGATCATGATACTGTGTACTTATCACTCTATCGCTAGGTGTCAAAAAGCTTTATGAAAGTAGGTCGCATTGTGCCTCAGTTTCCCTATCTGTAAAATGGGGATTAAAAAGGAAGTAACTTGCCCAAGGGTCACATAACCAATCAATGGCAAAGCTGGAGGTGGGGGCGGGGGTCTGATTCTAAGCCATGTACTCATCCAGTAAACCACCTTACCTAAACACTAGGACTATGTAGAATACTGTTGTTTACTATTTGATTAACTCCATACTCCAATAGCAGTTGGAGACTTGTGATACTGGTGGGGGTTATTTGCTTGTATAATTTAAATTTCATCTTAAATATCTCTTGTAATTACGAGGAAATTCTAATAATCTTGTGTTATTTTTTTGTCAGTTTTTCAATATATTGAGATTTTGAAGAGGTCAGATTTCTATTTGGAGATCTTGGTGTTGGGATTTTGGACTATTAGGGTAACCATTGAGCTTTTGCATAGTCCCCAAAACTACACAGTTTGGTGGTCTGATTATATATTCTCTCCAACTACTTCAACAAATTTTCTGAATCTGCTTACAAAGTTAGTTATTCTAGGTAAATAATTTGTTTTTAAATATCTATTAAGATTTGAAACATTGAGTAGTTTTGAAAACTATAAAATCATAATCTGTCAGTGTACTCAGTCCATTTTCTTGTTATTATTTCCTTGTATTACCAAAGTGCCTGAAACTGAACTGAAACTGGGGCTTCGTTGTGCTAGGTGTTGTATGTACACATAGAGACAGACCCTGTCACAGAGTTTACAGTCTGAACAGACAAGAGAAAGGGAGAGAAAAGAAAGTATTAATATCTCCATTTTATAGATGGGGAACTGAGGCCGGAAAAAATAAATCACTTGCCCAGCATCACACAGGAAGTCTGAGGCTGTGCCAGGAATTGAACCCAGATCTCTCAAGTCCCAGCTCAGTACCTTAGCCACGAGACCATCCCTCATCTCTTAATTAATAACAATACAGTGAGAACTTTATTATTATTTTCATTTTGCACATCTATCCCTCAGGCTAGCGGGGAAAGGGTGAATTTAACAATCTCCAGACCAGTGAAATCGCAGACAGTCGCTATTCTCCGAGAAGCAGGGACTCATAACAGCAGCCAGCACCAGGCGCAGCAGCTATTCCACAGCAGACACAGTTCGCATAAGGTTAGTGTTTCTCTCTTTCTCCACTTGAAAAGAAAATGTAATAGCATTTGATGGTATTCAGATTTGCTGGTTACAGCGACACATACAAGTCTTGTGAATGAGATAAAATTGTAGCTCTGGAATCGTGTGTGGGACAGTGGGCAACACGTTACCACCATGAGGAAGGATTGCCATTCAGGAGCATCCTTTGGACTTCTGCTGTGCAAGCCATTGAACTGCAAGACCCCAGGAGCTGGAGCATATCCACCAGCCATATAATATTCCTGGGAGCATTCTGCGCCAAAAAATTAAAAATTCTGCAAAAGTCTGCAAATTTTATTTGTCAAATAAACACTACATAATCACGCCAGTTTCAATTATTTTTGGTAATTTATTTCAAAATACCTGTCAGCAGGCATGTCTGTAACAATACAGACACACAAAAATTCCCTTGGGAGTAGAGAGAGAAAGAAACCCCTACGACAACCCAGTTCCTGTTTCTCTGCCCCCTTGCGCCCCCCAGAGCCCAGCTGGGGGGCCAGACCCCCCTCCAAAGCCCTCCGCCCCAGAGCTCAGCCAGGGGGCCAGACACCCACAAGCCCTCCACCGCAGAGCTCAGCCAAGGGACCAGACACCTACAACCCCTCCCCCCCGGAGCCTAGCCATGGGGGCCCCCCCAGCCAATACACCCGCACCCCGCCTCAGAGCCTAGCCACGGGGCCCCCCTGGCCCAGATACCCACACCCTAGAGCCCTACTGTGGAGCCCTCCCCCCCC